TAAATTTGTAATTAAACATGTAGAATACTGGCTTGTTATTGCAGAATTCCATACTTGTAGTTTAGCTTAATTTTGTAAGTGGGCTTAACTTGTGCAGAACACTTCTCCATGTGCAAAGGCTCAGTCCTCTCTTAGTAGAAAGAAATGTCTTGGAGAAAAAAATGGTGTGTCAAGTTAACTCCTGTTCATACTTTATAGCCAGCCATTCACAAAGCACTGTGTTTTGGGTTTAGAGTGGGAATTGTGGTTTTACGCAGGAATGCTCTTTTTAGATGTGTAAGGATTGCCAAATGAAGATAGGAATATTATATAAGAAGGTAACTATTCCATGGTATCACAAGTTAGAATGAATGAAAGTCTTGGAGCTAACTTCAAGAAAATTTCAAAAACAAATTTAGCCCAGTGGTTTACCATGGTCATTTTTAATTCTTTAGAATACTATGCATGGTTTGAAAGTCTGTTAAATACTTTTTTTTTTTGTAATGAGTAAGCCATTGTATCCTTTGTATTTCCCTTCAGTATAACCTGGGGAATAAGCTACTTCAGAATGTCAGTGAAGTTATCTTCGTTTTGAAAAATGTAACAGCAAAGGAGAAGCATCAGGTGTAAATTCCTAAAAATTACCTTATTACTTAATAGGCTGAAGAATACTTATACTGAATTTCTGATAGCATTCTTGCATGGATTAGTGGAGGAAATTATTGGTGTGACTACGAACTACATACTCCCATTGCACATGTTTTACATGGTAACAGTGAAAGAATGTCTCCCTGCAAATTCTGGTGTTTTTCCAAAAGGCAGCTTGCTTTTATATCTATGCATCTTTGAGGATTTCAAGATAAGATTTTATTCTTTTGACACTGTAAAGAGGAACTGTTTAAAAATGAACCTGGAAACTCTGCACCTGTATACAAATTTTTTTAGCAATAAAGCAGCACAGGCTGAGAATGCACTAAAACTGGATGTGTCATCTGTTCAGAAGACAACCACAGTACATTCCACTTCACTTCTGAGGTGGGCTTGCTGTAGCTTTGTTTTTAACAAAAACAAAAAAATTTAACAACTCAAGCTGAATTCATATATGCTGGATATCTGCTTTGTGGCCAGCTGTCCCAGCAGACTTCAGGCACAAGAGCTTCTGACTTAGGCAACAGCTAAACAAAAATTGTTATTCCACTCATTCTAAGATGCATAATTTATCAGTTGAGAGCTTCAAGGGTTGTTTTAGAGGGTAGCAGAAACCCTCTGTTTCTTGTATTGATTGCCTCAAAATAACAAGGCCCCTCAGAAAACTGTTTTATGGTATGTATGTACTGTTTATTGCTTTGGTGACTGCGCTTCTGAAAAATTTCTTCTGTGGTTGACAGAGGTCCTCCCAGTTTCAAGGATTACAGAAAAGCAGTTTAAAAATTTACCAGCTATTCTTCAGCACATACTCATTATTTATTTAAATTCACACTAAGTAATAGAATTTGAGGAACCATTACTTTAATGCTTCATAAGAAATGAGGACCCAAGCAAGATAAAGTGATGTTTTTATTTCTGCAAAATTAATCAAAGGAAAAGTAGGCCTAGGACTCACATAATATTGTCAATGACTTGCACAATATGAATTTCTGAATTCCAGCTTTTATTTAAGAAGTTTCTTCTTCACAACTTTAAATATAACATAAAAATGTAACTGACAGCTTTCATTTTCTTTTAGGGCTCAACACTAATGAAGCAAAACAATTTAGTATGATTCATAGTATAGACGTAAAATAACAAGAAACAGTCTCAATGCAGAAACTGGAATGAAAGGGCAAAAGCAAATACTCCCATTATCAATCACATTTCTTAGACTCATGCAATACAAGCACTAAGGAAGTACTTCAAAGGTGGTATTTGTGAGAGTCCCTCCTCTCCTTACAGAATAGCTGTTGATACTTGGTGCTTTTGCTTACCACAATGAACTGAGACCATACAGAACTCCCAAAAGAAAGCAACACAGTGAGCACACACAGTGAGCATTAGTAGTAGCCTAAGTACCAGCTGCCCACCTAAAACCTCTGAGGTGCTTTACAGTGAGTTTTGTCCCCTCTGCTCCAAGCCCATTATGAGTTATTTTACAAATAAGACAAAACACAGAACTGGCAGCAGTAGCAATGAGGTCTACAACCTGCTGGTCATAAATATGGAAGGAGAAGGCAATTTGAATCACTGGAATTAAGCTGATCAAGTAAATAGAATCCTCTCTAGACCACTACAGACAACTACTAAACTTTCCATAGAATTCATTATTCCTTTAGGGAAAAACATTAGCCCTTTAAGGAGCAAAGGGAGAAGAAAAGGGCCCTTAATCTTCCAACAAAGAACTAGGGAAATTCTGTCCCAGTAAATAGTGCTTTCTTTTCTGTAAAATTATTTTCTAAGTGTTTGAAAATAAGCATAACCAATATTCAACAGAGAAATGCCAATGAACCAGGAGGAGGTATTTTTTATAAAACATCTTAACTGGCCAATTGAAGGCAACAGGCAAATCATAACTTCAGGAAAGGAGTGCTTCCAGAATTGTGCAGAAGACCATTCCTTGGTTTCATAGTTGACATTCCAGAAAGAAATGCTCAAATCTGTTCAAGGAAGTTGTTCATGCTGTTAGCTGGCAGAATTTGACTCAGTCCTGTTCCTGGGGCCGCAGTTCAGCAGACTTGGCAGGCACATGGGTTGCCCTTTACCTGAAATCTAAAACCTTGTGTTCTGCCTGCATGGTGCCATCCAGACTCATGCACTAAGAACACTGCAGCATCTGTGACGTGCTTGTCTGCTGCTTCTGCAGGCAACACACACAAGGAAATCTCAAAACTATTCAGGAGTCCATTTAGCAGTGGCTCAAGTATCAGATGTAGCTAATGAGCCACTTGACCGAAAACTAGCTGCCACTAAAACCAAGGCTGCCATTAACACTGTTTCTGTACTGAAAGTTAGGACAAGAGCTTTAGGTCTCTAAGAATGTTGTTTTTAATGGTGGCTCTTGAATATCATCACCTTGTTAAATGCGTTTTTCCAGAAACCTGATGTGAGTATTTCAAAGGCTGGTTTTCCCCCTAAGTCATTAGAAAAAGCAAAGTCACAGTTACAGAGCCTCAGGGAGTGATGTGCTGCATGGCTGAGCTATGCAGTCTTCTAAGCATAACTTCGGTATGTCAGATTTTCAGGTGTTCCCCTGAAGTAATGCACTTCATCATCAGTTCTTTCCACACACACAGATAAAGTGACAGATAAACACTCAAACCTGGTCTGGTGCATTATTTCTTCATAATGACCAAACTCAGCAGAGATGCAGAAACAACTCCAGCAGTTCTTGAAAACAGGTATTAGTTAATACTAACTCTTGCATATCCCGATAGTAGGTCACCTGAATCTGATGAAGGGTTTTAATTATTTTGTTACAGTTTCTCCAGCTTCCTTATCACTAATTCTATGCGACAATTGAAGTCCACAATCTTTTCTTTCACCTAGAAAAATTAAGAGTATTGAAATTGGCAAAAAATGTCCTAACACTGGAACTTTGAATGACCTTCACCCCACTTTAAATGGTTAAAGAGCAGCTCACTTTCAAGAAGGGAAAATATAGAGGGCTTGATCTCTATACTGCGTGTTTAGTACTGACAAAACCAGCACCCAGATTAGAGGGCTGCATTACAAACTGGAGATGGATGTGTGCCAGTATCAGCCCTCCCAGGGACATAATGGAAATAACTACTTCAGGAGACAGAGTTGCTGCGGTTTTACTATGATGAGTCTGATCTTTCCTAGTTAACTCAAGTTTTAACACAACCAGAAACCTTTGACAATATGTGGACATACTGTTTCATCATTAGCTTAGGAATACATGTGGACATTTTGTCTCAAAAAGCAAAGGCCAGATGCTTGAGCTTGTTGTAGTCAACAACAAACAAAATCTCTTCAGTCACATAATTTATGTCTGCAATGAAGTGTTATCATATTTTTACTTCCATTGTGTATTTTTACCAAATAATCACATAAATACTGGATATGCTGGCTGTCTCCTAAATACAGTAACTTTATTTGAGCTAAGGCACAGGCAATTAACTAACATAACAACTAGTCAGGTTACAGATAAGAATGTCCAATTTGAACACCAAAACAGGAGGGAGATCCTAAAGTTGTCTGTGAAACTACAAAATACTGCCATGCCATTTTGAGCTTACACAGACTAAAAAAATATAATATAACTTTATAAAAATATAACTTTAAAAATCCCTTTCAAATAAAAAAATATCTATTTTTAAATTCTTCAACAATGACAACACAAGTCAATACTTAGGCAAAGTCTGTAGAAATTATTTTTGATTTTTTTTTTCTTTGCAAGGTATAGAGATAAAAGGATAAAGTTTTGCCATAATTTATCTAGAACTGGGTATGTTCTGCAGTTTAGGGGTCTTAGAAAATGTGCCACGTCTCATACATTGAGTCAATTATTGTCATATAAGGCAGCACTTTCTCAATCTTAGGCACTTAAAAACCCCACATTTGTATCAATGTTTTGAATTAATGTCTAAAATAATCAGCATTTTAAAAGTATTTTCCATTATTGTCGAAATCTTACCTTATTTATGTGTTCCTTTAAGGTCACAGCTGGAAACTTCACCTTAGAAGCTTCTATAGTAATTTGGTTTTGTAAGAGGTAACTGGAAAACAAAAAGGGGAAGGAAAAAAGACCAAGAAAAACGCTTAAATTTATAGTTGCATTATTTGGACAGATGATTTAAGATGATACTAAAGGAAATACAAGGTTGTTGCCAAAAGTAATAATTATGAAAATATTCAAAGTATAACAATGGTTTTACTTTGGAATTAAGATCCAACCTCTCAACACCAGCTGTGATTTACAGCTTCTATAGTCAAGTCCTCAACCTATCATTGAATCACTTTTAAATGAATCTGGGACTGAAGAGATTTCAGTGCTGCACACAACTAAACTTAAAGTCTTACATTACATGAGGACACCCAGGAGCTGCAAGGCAAATCAAAGGGATTCTCTTCAACCCAATTTAGACATCAAGGATATTAAAATCCCACACCGATGTGCTCAGACAAGTCAAATCACTTTTGTTAGCTGTAGGCTACTTGTACAGCAATTTACCTGTGAAGTCACTGACCATAAGAATACAGTGTACTCACCAGATGATGCTGTCCTTGAAGAAACAGAACAAGCCTCGGAGATATGCCAGGTTACTGTCACAAGAATAAAGAATGAAGCCCACGGCCAAGCCACAAGACCGACAGGTTAATAAATAATAAGTACTAAAAAGAGAAAGGGAAAAGTGTTCTTAAACAGAAGCTTTTGAAACCACAGATGCTGCATATTTATCAGAGGGCATCAAATCTTCAGTTCTATTGGGACATAATCCAAGGCATATTAATGCCTCCTCCTCAAAATAAAAGATATACAGAAACAACATGATCATAAGAAACTTGGCATGTTGTGAAAGAAGTAATCTCTCTAATAAGTGAAGTTCTACTAAGGAAGATAATGCACATCTTATTATCACAGAGTGGTTTAGACTATTCTACTCAAACGTGATTTAAGTGTACAATGCAAGTGCCAGGTGAAAATTCTTTCTAGTAAAACAGATTATTGTCCCATGCAGAGAGAGGGGCAAGGAACAAGCTTTATATTGAAAAAGAACAAGCTTTATATTGAAAAAGTTCCCAGTCCTGACAATTTGTAAAACAGCATTTAAACAAGCTACTGTTTCTGTAAGCCCCAGATGACATTTTACATTCTTCCCATTGGACTCAGTTACCAAACCTCGCTAGCTGTAGGTTCAGGAACAGGGCAGCATAAGTTTTTTATTTTCAGTATTAAGAAAAACCAACCAACTAAAAGCCTTCCCTCCCCCAAAATCCAAACCAAGGCAACCAAAAATCCACCAAACCAAATACAATCCAGAGATGCTTTAAGTAAGATACCTTTCGGAGAGGGAAGAAAGAGACCTACAAGTTAAGTCGGCTTCTACTACTGCACTGCTCGAATGTTTCTCCCTACCTACAGAGCCTTGGGCAGCAAAACTTTTGATTTCAAGTGAAAACTACATCCCTAGAAAAGCTTTCTCCATCCGAAGCGTGAATAGGCACAGAAGTCAGCTGGGAGTTTGCCAAGCCCCTCGGAACCCGCCGCGCACAAGCCGGAGGAGCTCCCGGCCTTGCCGGAGCCCGGCTTTGTCCGCACGATTTACCGCGGCGGCCGCTCACGGCAGGCCCGATGCCAGCAGCTACGGGAGTACACACCATTCCAGGAGGGCTCCCTCGAGGCCGACCAACAGCGAGTCCTCCCAGGTCACATCGCTGGTGACCTCTGAGGAGAAAGAGAGAGAGACGCGCTGCAGCCGAGAGCCTCCGGACCAAGC